AGAAGAAAAAAATATTTATTATTACTGCAGTCAGTCCAACAAAATAAGCCAAACAATTTTTGATTACATGTCCAGTGGATTCTAAAGGTCGAGATCGATGACTTCCAAGTCTATCGCCGCTGCGTTGCGCTCGGTAAAAACCTCGTAACACTCACCATACCAAGGGAATCCTTCCGAACGAAAAAATTCCTGAGTGTCGGTCTCCTGTGTAATAAATTTAAATCTTTTTAGGTTATTATGGCCGCGTCACAAAAATGCATGCTTGAACAAACTAAAATAAAAAATCAGATGCAATTTACCTCCTCCCCCACATACACCCAGTACATGTGGTTAACCCTAGCAAAGCCTGTATCACGACACAAGAGGACGCTTGGAATCATCAGGAAAGCAGTAAATTCATCGAAATAATTTATGAGTCGCTGAATCTTTCACCGGACTTGAGAAATAGTAAACTCCCTCTTAAATGCATAACTCAGGCATTGGTTCAGGACTATTGAAATTTCTGTCCACAAGGAATTGAACACATGGCCTTTGTGTATGTCTGCCTTCTGACGACACCATTTGAAAAATACTTGGTAGCAAGTACGTTCCTCCTCCTCTGTCCAGTCCATGCCACGGAAGCGGATCGCGATCTTTTCATAAGGTGAAATCCTTTCCATTTTTTTTTCCCAAACGTGGGCCTCCTTGGTTTTTTTTTTTTTGTTTTTTTGGCTGCGATGGAAAGATAGGATTTTGAGAAGTGAAAGGTCGCCTCTTCAACAAAGAGAATGAAAGGTTAATGAATACATATAGCATTTAAGGCTAGGTAGATATACATCAACTCAACAACTAAATGAGGAAGCATGCAAATCCTCATTGTATTTTAGGTGTAAAAGCAGACAATCAATCAATGTGGTACGTAACGTATGCGAATAATATGCGAAGCACATTCGATTTTGATATGCGGTGCAGACAATCAATCAATGCGGTCCATATAGATATGCGAAAAAAATGGCAGATAGTCGTAAATTATGCGGCTTTCGATTTGGATATACGATTCATTAATTATGCGGTTGAAGACTAGGCGAACCATCCCAGTTGTGCGATTATTATGGGATATAATATGGGAATTGCACAACCAACCCAATTGTGCGATTATTATGGGACATGTTATGCGAATCGCACAATGAACCTAATTGTGCGACTATTATGTTGCATGTTATGCGAATCGCACAATCAACCTAATTGTGCGATTATTATGGGGACATGTTATGCGAAACGCGCAATCAACTCAATTGTGCGATTATTATGGGACATGTTCCGATTTCGACAATTGTACCTGGATTACGAACATTTGCTTCTCATTGACCTCTTTGTCTTCGTCGCCTGACTCACCATTGTGCGTGTTTGTTTGGTCATCATTATTGTCATCGTCACGAGAATGACCTGGTTGGTTCGAACAACCCGAAGTTTGATCATCAGCGCCCCGAGGATATCCAGTATGTGTAAATGAACTAGGGTCTGCTTGATGTGAATATGGGGCCTCGTGGGAAAATGCAGAACTACCAACACCAAAAGAACTCGGAAATATACCTTGGGACGCCATCATTTGCGTGAAGCTTTGTTTCGCCGTCCCCGGAATCCCTACATTTACTCGTTTATCCAACTCCACGTAAATGTTGGGATTTCTTTGTTCTTCAATCAGCTATAAGATATCCTCACTGGATTCAATTTTCATCTTCACAACTCGTTCCCTTCCATCAAATACTGCCCACAATATGTACTCAAAATTACAAGGATCGGCCTTCAATAATGCTTGAGCACGAGAAACTACTTCAGAATATATTTGTCGACCGTAATTTATTCTCATCAGCTCTGCCACTCTACCAAGATATGAACCCTCGTAAAACGAACCACCAAAGTGCACCAATACTCTAACACGGTTGCTAGCCATTCAAATAAGTGAACAACAAAAAGAACTAAAAAAAAAACGGAAAAATGCAGTAGATGAATGGTGCAGGTGTTAAATTGTTAGAGATCACTGTTTTCTTGCCTGCATGATAAATGCAGAGACCAAATCCTCACCTGTGAAAAAGCAGTCAATTAATGAGGTGCGCAACCTATGCGAAAGATCTCCGAACGAATTCTGAGTAGTCATAAAATTGCCAGGTCGATATGGCCCTGCGAAAATGGCGCATAATCGTCAAAAAAAAATATGCTTTATTCGATTTGGTTATGCGATTCTTAAATATGCGAGCAAAAAAAATGTCACATAATTGTCAATTATCCGGAGGATATATGCGAAATTGTTTCGCATATTTAGTAAATTATGCGATTGACTTGGATATGCAATTACCAGAAAATGCGTATTCAACAAACTATGTGAATTAGATGCGAAATATTTTCGCAGTCATAAATTTGCAAGGTTGATATAGCCCTGCGAAAAGAAGGCGCATAATCATCGTAAATTATGCTGCAAATCGATTTGTATATGCGATTACTAAAAATGCGAAAGATGTTCGCGCATTTATAAATTATGCGTTTGATGTGGATATGCGATTAAAAAAATGCGAAATGTTTACGCATAGTCATAAATTATGCGGCCGATTGGATATGCGCTGGTTCCTTTGGACATGCGAGTGTAATATCGCATAGCATTTCGTGAGTTTTGGGGTGTAAAAGAAGTTATTTGATGGGGCGGTGTGAAAAAGAAAGAATAGATTTATAACGGGGTGAAAAAGATTTTGACCCTATATTATATATGTAAAACTGATAAAAAATACAAAAGTTATTAGCTTTTACAATACATTTACAATTCAATGGTTATAATAAGAAATGATATTACAATAAAATTAATACATTGTAATATGACCATAAATAATCAACATATTTATGGATAATTCGAACCTAATTATTATTATTATTATTCTATATATAAACACATAAATACAACTAGAACACAACTAGAGAAGCCAAACAACTAGCGGGATGAGCCCAGATTCAGAGCTTAGAGAGACTACACAAACTACTCACAAGACAACACAAACTCACCCACAAGACACACCCTAACCAAACAACACCCAAAACAGGACAAAAGTTGCTACTGGAGGAGAATAAGTTCCTACTATAGAAGAATAAGCCCCTGGCAAGAGGAGAAGCGCCAATAGCACAACCACCATAAAGAAATAAAAAAGGCAGAAAAAATATAGGCAACAACATAACACAAAACATCACTTACTAATTAGAATAACACCCTCCTTCCAACCGACAAAACAAACCGCACACGCATCGGCCCGACAGCCCGAGTACCAAACCAAAAACTGCAGTGAACCACGACTAGCTGGAACCACATCAGACGACCGCAATCTTCTCAAAAAATGGACCACCTCTGGATTGACAACCGGAGGACGACTCAGACCAGCCCCAACCCCTCAACCGGCTCCACTCAAAAACTTCCTGCCAGAAGAGGCCCCGCAAGCCGAAAGCCCAACAAGACCGACCGACCAAGCAACAACACAAAGCAAAGAGGCGGCCGAAGGGGAAAAGGGGGAGGAACCGAACCCCAGCTCCGACCGGTGCTGAGAACCCGGTCGGAGCTCACCGCGCAGAACCAACTCGAGCCTCTGGTACCGCTTGAGAGAAAAGGCAACCTTGAAGTAGTGAGCCCTAGACCTGGCTGGGACCACAACGCCTAGGGGCACTGGCTTTGCGGATCTGTGACGGCCGGCGCCGGGCGAGCAGAGAGTCCGAAAGGAAGGAGGTGGCAACAAAAGGTAGAAGGCATCGACTAGGTTTTTTATTTGGGGGTGAGAGCATATGCGAATTTCGTTTTTAAGGAACCTAATTATTTTTGGATTGGAAATAAATTAAAATCTACTAAAGCCAAATAATGAAGTATGTAATTTTGCCACATAGGATCCTGAAGCATGCGAGCCTGCCACTTACGCTCAACAAGTTTTGAATTAATATCTAGGGGGATATATATTTATTTTTCCGCTCTAAAATAGATTTCATTTTAGAGTTTGTGTTTAAAATTAAGGAAAGAAAATTTATCATATTCTAACATTATTAATAGTTTGATAAAAATAAAAATATTATCAATACATAATACTACAAAAATACTTCGGTCTCTTTTCCCTTATTTTATACTTTATTACGATATATTATTTCGATTTCTAAATAAGTGATGGTAACACCAAAGCCAGTCATTTATTTCGATTCCTAAATAAGTGATGGTAACACCAAAGCCAGTCATTTTGGCTTCACATGTACCATGTACCTCTCAGCTCATTACTTCCTAGATCTCTTTGGCAACAGGGTGTTCACATTTATTTCAATTTTACTAAACTCTAAGATGAATCTTAAATAGCAACAGTTCAGAACGTAGAGATTTGTAGCTCGGGAAGATTCTCAATAGGAAATACACTACACCTGGGATTCATGAACCAAATTGATGACTATTGAGCACATTTGCCACAAGTGTTGCACCTTTCTTTTCTCACACAAAGGTCACACACTACCGGTTAGAAATATTACTATCAGGTGAATTCAAAGACTGGCAATGATTTTTCATCCAGTGCAAGTTAGAATACTTGAACACATACCCCATGTAAAACTGAAACAAGTACCTAAATTACGAAAAAGACACCGTCTTGAGAGGTCTCTACAAATAAGAACAGGACAACAACATTTTCAAGTCCTCTTGCGCTTGAGGGTTTTGATCTGATTGTAGATGTAGTTGATGACCTCCTTGAATGTGGCCTTGCGGTTCTCCTTGAAGTTCCACAGCTCAGGGACAACATAACAGCCGCTCGGGTTGTACTCTTGCATCTCTATCAGAGCCGTGGTCACTGCCTCATATATTTCTTGGCCCCACTCTTCCCGGAGCCCACGCAGCTCCTCGTCCTCTTCTTTGATCTCACTCTACAATACATGAAATAGGTTATGCCAAGTTTCAACTTTCAATGTTTTTTTGGCATTTTGCCAGAAGAGCAAGAATAACATAAATAATAAGGTACCCTTTCAAATAATTACAATAACAGCACAAACCCAATGGGTTCTTTTTATTTTTGTACAATATGCAGAGCTGAGTTCCCGATGAATCGATTAGATCTCAAGGGTAGGGTTTTGTAATTTATAATAATAAAGAAATATATTTCATATGTAGCGAAGCAAGAAAAATGAGGGAAATGCATATTTAGATGAACCTTGGCATTCCCCTTCTCATCCTCGACGACACGGAATGGGTTCCACTCAGCATTTTTCATCTTCTCTTGCCATAAGGAGCAGAGTTCAACAGCCTTGATCTCAGCCTCTCCAGATGAGAACCTCTTGCTACATACAGTTTTGAAGGCCTTCTCATCAATCTCACCCATCCTCCTTATCCCGATGTTCACACGACTGCTGCTCGGCATATCTGTCAAACCCTGAGAAAAAGGGCATGAAAAAATGTCACAAATATTACTTCAATGAAACATACTTCTTTAAATAACATAACCCATTCCATCAGACAAACCAATAGGCTAGTTACTAGCAGCAGTTTATCCCACAAATTAGCCAGGCATAGTGACAGAATATGCAAATAGTTTCTCATTAAATTAGGCATAACCACCAGTTCTTAGAGTTCTTTGAAACAATTACAAGAGAAGGAAATTGGAAAAGAGACGAGAATAATAATAATAATAATAATAATAATAATAATAATAATAATAATAATAATAATAATAATAATGATAATAATAATAATACCTCAATAAGAACTTTCCGCGCCTCCTGAAGCTCCTCATTGCCCATGCGCTCTTTTATGAGCAGCTGATTGTTTAATTCCTCCCGAGCGACGAGATCATCCTTCTTGTCCTCCAAGAGCTCAGTCAGCTCTTTAAACTTCTTCTCCACAGCTCCATCATCATCGCCACCCATATGCTTCATGACCTCCAGTTTCCCTTTGAGCTCCTCTATCTCCATCTCCAGCTTTTGCGTCTCATCCAAATTCCTCTCAAGCTCCAGAACCTTCTCCAGTGCCAACTTCTTCTCTCTCTGAAATAAACAGTCACCAACTAAGTTAAAGTGATCATAGTGGGAAATAAATACAATACCACCGGGGGCCGCACATTCTGATTTTCAACCAGCCGGAGGACATTCGCATCTGCTTTCTTTTGCTCCTCCGTAGCCATTTGGAGAGCACTGTTCCTCTTGTCGTTCTGAACATCAAAATTGCAGAACATCAAGCTAAGTATAAGCACGTGCATTCACGCACACACAAACAGTCTCAAGTCTTGTGCATCAGCTATAGGACAAAAAGTGCATCTACAATTGACAGTGGATTACCTTTTGCTTCTCCTCTTCAAGTTTGAGTCTCTCGCGTTCAGTAGCAGCCTCACACTTATTCAATTCTTTGCTCCAAGAATCAAGTCGCCGCTTTTTGTTCTCCAACTCCAACTTCAGCATCTCTTGTTCATTGAGAACCCTCTTGATGTGCTCCCCCACAATGACTTGCAGCTTTCTCCTTTCTGAAATGGAAAATTCAAGTTACAACGGTTTAATTCTTATCAACATATTATGTGAATCAGCACCTTTTAAGGTTGCATTGATGAATAAAAACGTATGCACTAATATCCCAAAAATGTATTATTTGCGCTAATACTTTTAAGGCCCGCTAAACGGGATGGCCCGCGCAGGCCGCGGGTTTTAGCGGGCCGCGGGCCAGCCCGCCATTAAAAAAAAACAATTTTAGGTTTTAGATAACACAACACAAGTTTTAATTGTAATACTTTACACGTAACATGTAAATGTTTCTTTTCCTTTCTTTTTCTTTTTAAAAGAACCAAAACATAACTACATTATACAACATAACAGAGTTACGGGTCTTTTTCCAAGAATCAAATAAGCTTTCATCTTTTCACTTGCAACTGTTATTAGATTTGTCTGTAATTTATTAATTTTAGATATATACATACATATGCATATTTATGCATTACTTCAACTGTCTCGCTCTGCCGAGGATGAGGAGCCTCTTTCACTTTTTGCAATCCGATGCATATTTAAAAAGAGCCAGGTTTTTTTTTAACAATTCTGCACGGGCCGGCCCGCCTAACCTGCGGCGGGGTTGGGCCAGGCTGCTGTTTCATAGGCCCGCCGAGATGGTGGGCCAGCCCGGAATGCCCCGCCAAACGATGGGTTTTGGCGGGCTGCGGGCCCACCCCGCCGTCCCGTTTTGACATGTCTACCAATATGCCAAATCAGTTATAGTTATAACTTAAATAATGTACTAAGGTTAAAGCTCCAAGAGGATTAAAAAAAATGGTTTACAATAGAGGCTAAAAAGTTTGATTTTTATTCAAAAGGAAGAGCCTAAGTCACAAGAAGACAAGAGGCAAAGACAGAAGGAGAGAATACTAACCTTCACAGAAAGTGCGATGAAGTTCATCCTTCTCTTCAAGCATTCTACTGAGTGAAAGGGTCTTCTCATTGTATTTTATTTGCAGCTGACACAGATTTTCGTTTTTCAAGTCAATCTCCTTGACCAGGTCACTCACGATACTATTCCGCTTATTGGTAAGCTCTAAGATCGTCTTCAACTCCCCGTTCCTGCGCAAGTAATCCCCAACAGTCCCTTCCGACTTGTAGTCATCCTCGCCAGCAAACCAACCATAAAGTTTTGACCCAGGAGAACCCTTATGCTCGACCCATTCCTTTCTGCATTGCCCCTGAGCTTGAAACCACTTTTCAAACTCCATAGCATCCAAATAGCCATCGCTATCAAATCTCATAACGACTTGATCAACTTCTCTGAATATCTCGATCGTCGAAGGCCTGTATCTCGAGAACTTCTTCATCCAATAACTGCACTCCTCTTCTGGAGAGAAATTCTTTAACTCGTTTTGGACATTGGTCACAATCCCATACAATGGCCAGACATAGTGCTCGGGTTTGGCGGCAGAAGGCAACGTGGGCTGGGCCTCGATGCCCTGGTCATTTTCCAAGAAGGCTGCAAGGGCAAGATGTTTAGCCCTCATTTTCGCACTTCTAGCTGTGCCCTTGCCAGACCCAATAGCGTGCTGCAGTAAATGATTCAACGCATAATCTTGTTTCTTCTTGCCAGCACAAAATGGGCATCTGAAGGAGCCATTCGGGCCTCGAATCTTGTAAGTTCCATCCTTCAGCAGCTCGTATGGTTTCTCTTTGTACTCACTAATCTCCGAGTCACTGATGTCTGATTCCTCTGAACTGCTGCTACCCATCTGGGAACAATTGGGTTAAACACGTAAGCAACAAGGAGCAAAATAATGCAAATAGTTGGTAAAGGTAGAACCTAGTTACAATTTTTAGCTACACATATCACTTATAATTTCAAATGCCACCTTAGAAGTTCAATTATTGAGAATAATGTCATTCGCTTTGTGTTCATCTAAAGATATACCATCTTCCTGCTGGTCCAAATAGTAAAAGAGATACAAATTTCAAGTGTTCTTTTGTGCAACGCTCTAGGATTTCCAAATACATTTGTACAAAATTCCGTTTACATTTATATAAATAATATTAGTGAACTCACAAGAAACAAGCAAATGCGGGAAGGAAATAAATAATTTTACGTGATATGACATCTCCAGAGGTTTTCATCCAAATAAACAATCCACCCAAACTTGATAAGAAAACATTTTTGAAACATGATTGAATACGATACTACTATTCCTTTTTCTCCGCCAGGTCGTTCATCCTGAAAAATGGATTTAATAAAAGACTTAAGCCAAAAATGCTTAGTGGGGCAGTACATGTCGCATATGAATGATAATAACAATCTAAGCAAGGTGCGTATATTCTCCAAATACACGGAGTACTTGGCAAGAATACTCAGTCATTTGCCCACAGGCCATCAATTTGAATCAGCACGAAGGCCTCCATTGTGAACATAAGCTCGAAGGATTCCAACATGAACATATGCCCATCGACAATGTAGAAAATCATATGAACATGAGAAACATCACATAACATTTATATGAGACGTGTAAAAATAAATGATTTTTGAAAAGAAAACCCCACCTTGATAATTTGCAATGTACGTCGATATGCTTGACTTGATGAAAATCTTACACCTCAGAAGTAGATGTAAACCTACAATATAAAATAATTCAGATTAATATATGTATTTAATGCAATATGCATATATATAATAATAAGTAAGAATATTAAGTAATAGAATTCTGTCCACTGCATATGGGGCTGGAAGAGGCATTCTTGACAATTTTCCTGGCATAGTGTTAATAATGGACTAGATCAAAATGGCTCAATTAAATTCTAGTGCTTCTTCTATTAGTGAAGTTTTTTAAAAAAAAAATTATATCAAACGACGCAACGCATCTTAGGTCGCTATGGAAACAACCTCTTTGTATAATTACAAGGATAAATTATACGTATAAGTGACCCCAGACCCCAACCTCAAGAAAAAAATATTGCAACCAGTCTCCCGTCACCTCACTCCTATTTCCTTTCTTTTTCCCGTAACTCTCCTTTTTTCCCTTTTTCTTCCTTCTTTTTCCTTCCTTTCTTCTCCTTCTAATGCAGACCCCTCTTGGTCCACGGTGGTTGCATAAAGCCCCACGGCTGCCCAGTAACAGAAAATAGAGGACCACCAAGGCTGGCAGCGGCAGGCGACGGCGCTGATGTGCCTTTGAAGGTCGACGATTCTCGAGTCAAGCGGCAACGTCACTCGGCCTTTGGCGGAGGCGGGGTTTAGCGGCAGCAGCAGGACGTCACCGGGATAAGGCTAACAAGGTCGGCGATTCACAGCCGGTGAAGTATGCCAATAACAAAAGGTTGCAGGGGGTTTCTGAGAGTGCTTTCAGAGGTATGAAATGACTAGAGTATATGGAGTTGAAGAGATGCGTTATGAAATTGTGAGAGTATGGAGTTGAAGGGACGTGAATTAGACTTTTGGGAATGAGGGATTTATTAAGTACAGAGTAATTGTAATTGTTCAGATGAGTAAGGCTATAAGTATAAGGTTAAGTTGTATATAACACTCACATTGAGTCGACCTATTAAATATAAAATATCAAGTGGACTACATTCAGTGAGTGTTATGTACACCTTTATGTACATTCATTGTGTACTTATAGTATTTTCCTAGTTTGAATTGACCTGAAGTTACTTTTTATATATATTATTTATTTTTTATTTGTTTATTTATTTGTGTCTTTTGTCCAAAATATCTATTTATCAAAATAAAATTAATACGTATCTCGTGCGATGAACGAGTAATAGATATGTATTAATATTTATAAATTAAAGATACTCATTAAATAATATTTATAAATTAAAAATATATAATTAATATGTAATACAATTTACATATATTCATTTATTGAAAATATTATATGAAATACAAATTGTGCAAAATTACATAAAACATGTCTATTTTAATTAGTACACAACTTGTACACTGCACGTAACTGATAATAATTCACATTATATTTATTTCAAAATAAGTGTCATTTTAATATTTTTTTATCAGAAATTAGATTTGACGAAAATGTGATTCTATAAAATAAATATTTTGGTAAAATTATGATATATTTAAATATCTATGTAAATAATAATTATAAAACCTATATTGTTTTCTTAAATATAATGAATTTATTTTTTGTATAAATTATCCAAATCAAATTTAGTAGTTGACTAATTTATTAAATATAAATAATTGACTATTTCATTTAACTCTAAGTTAATCTTGACCCAGAGTTATGAATATTTACTTATTTGACTTTTAAATTTGGAACTCAAATTTGGTCATTTCATATAGCTGCAAAATCTCATTAGCTCCTTTTGAGAGCTTTGCGATCCCATATTTGACCGGTTCACGCTGGTACCGGGTTCAATTTTCTATATTTCATAGTAGATGTGATTTTCAGTCGAAACAGGGTTCAAGCACTGAAGTACTGGGTGCCGGAAATCAGATTCTCTGGAGGTCGGGGTTGAAGCAGAAGCAGAAGAAGTTTCAGAATAAGCTTTAACAATAAATTCCTTACACAAACACACACACACACACATACACACACATACACACACACATATATATATATATTATCTCGCAATTTTCATGATTGATTGTCGGGCACCTTCGTTCAAATTTATCACCATAAATAATGTTTTCAATTAAAATATGGAATAAATATTTAATATAATTTATCTGTATTTGTTTATTTAAAATATTATATAGAATTTAAATTTTGCAAAATTCGATTTTCATACTCATATCAAATAAAACTTATACCACTTATTTTGTTTTCAAAATTTCGAAATACACTTCTTTCCATACTTAATAAAATTTATACCATTTAAATTAGACATTTCATACCAAAATAAAGTCTCACATTTTATACCATGAAATCGGACATTTATTAACAACAATACATTTCCTACCAATATTAAAAATGGACATAAGATATCTAAAATAAAATCGCACACTTTATACCAAAACTGGATTTATTAATTTTTATTTAACTTTATACCATAAATTGATTAATTAATTTTTAAAGGTGGATCTTTTTGAATTTTTTTAAATAGAATTATAAAGTTTAGTAATTAAAAATGTTGGTCTGGTTTTTAGTTTTCTTTTCAAGTAAATACAAACCTTTTGAATGATAAGCCACATGCATTAGATCATGAGCGAATGTTGAATACTAATACGTAGCCCGTGCGATGCACGGACAGAAGTATTAAATGAGTCATTTCTACAGAGCTTGTCCGTTATGTAGCTCGTGTGATTCACGAGAGATATTAAATGAGTGGACCATAGAGCTTGTCCGTTCAGTCATAAAAATGATAGAGTTTGATCATCTATTTTTTTACATCTTTTTCATCAACTTCATTTTTTTTGTCGGGACATTAAACTTGAGTCTGGTAGCGCTAGTCCGTAAATTATTAAGATATTATCTAGCTCACATGTTCATAATAATATAAATTTGATTTAATTATATATATTTATTCATTAAGATAAGAAAAATAAAAATTTTACGTAATCTTGTTCCTCGTATAATACTCATATTATTTTATTATAAAATTTATTGTAGTATAATGTCATTATTATTATTATTTATACATGTTATAGATGTAGTCTTCTTCTTCTTTTTGTTTTATGTAATTAAAATATTTAATGTATGTCAATATTATTTAGTAATGTAATTAATTTAAATTATGTAAATAAATTTAAAGTAAAACATTTTGTACAAACATTTTACAAAATATACACAAATATTTTTTAGAATTTTTTTTTATAATAAACAAGCATCTTTGAAATTCTTTGCATTTATTAGACATCCTTGATATAAATTCGAAATCATACTTGCATCTATAAAATTATTAATTCCGTCCGATGTTATGGGAAACAAATCATCCGAAAATGTAACAAAATGATAAGAAATTTTAAAATTTGAATTTTAAATGAGACATGTTTTTACTTGAGTTCTATGCAATTATTATTTTGTCTGATTTTATGGCAAACAATTCATTCAACATTTTAATGTAACAAATGATAAGAAATTTTTATATTTTAATTTAATTTTGAAATGAGACATGTTTTAACTTGAAGTCTATATGTCCGATTTTATTGCAAAACACATCAATTAAGGATGAAATTAATGCAGACCGGTTTTATAGCTATAAAATAATAATACAATTGAAAAAATTAATGATAAAAATGGAATGCATTAATTATCATTTAACTTTTCTTGTTACTGAATTTAGTAAATATGATGGCTTTATATATATATATATAGGGTTGGGTTCAAGTGAGAATGATACTTAGTGAAAGAAATAAGAATACATCTTAGCCATACAATCCGAACATCCAACGACAAAAAATAATCCTAATATTTACTCTTATTAAAGGCTTGTTAAGGGCATATTGGACATTTGCATTATCACAACCCAATCACCCACCTATCCCACACATAGGTGGGTCCCGCCACTACCAAATTTTCTCCTTCATCTTCATCTCTCTCGTAAATACTCCATCCCCATCTCTGAAATTTTCGCCGCCGCCGCCACCTCTAAACCCGTCGCCGTCGACGCCTCCTCCGCTAAGCACGCCGAATACGCTGGAACTCCCGTCGTCGCCGACCTTTTTCTGAGATTTCTGACGCTGCCCGCTTTATGAGATTCCCGCCGCCCGTTCTGAGATTATCGCTGCCGCTAAACCCCAAGTCGTCTCCGCCCACGTTTCTCATCTGTCGCGCCAGTCCCG